GAGGTGCATTCTGAGTAGGGCGCATCTTGCGGCTGTGGAAAATTTTGCGAAATACGCCCGTCCCCAAAATTTTTCTCCTCAATACAACCTACTCTACTCCATTCTACCCGAAATCTTGCTAAATTTTCCAACTTTCTGCCATTTTCCCGGAGAGTTTTCCGAAAACCCTCCATTGTTTCTTTTTGTGAAGCAATGAAGGCGATTATGGGAGGCAGCGAAGGTGCAAAATGGCTACCGCTCGTCGAACTGCACAACTGCAATAGTGTTTCTGTTGCTAGACTACTTTCCTTTTTTGGATGCTGAAAGATGTATGGTAACTCAAATAGCTCATTGTGCTTGCCCTGTTCCAATATTTAGGTTCTCTGAGATAGGTTCTTCATTGACTTTCGCATTCATCACCTGCTTTGCGATAACGGGCGAAACGGATCATCTGCGCTTTGTAGTGTATTCTTTTTCCAATATTTTTTTTCTTTGCTTCTAATTGAGCGTTCATTGTGCCCACCTGGGCGAAAGGAATCGCGAAATGTTGTTTATTTTCGGCTGCCCATGCTAGGGATCCATTGACGGTCTTCTAGCCTTTACAGCTCACTGTTTGGGTAATGAATCGAAACATGATGATAGATAGGTGCCAAATGACAATAATGAAGGAGGTAGAAGTGACCGTCTCGAATAAGCCCCTTCTAGGTATCTGCTGGTTCATCAGCATTAGACCGAGATCCGAGACCGCCGCCTCCTCGGCAGGTACGCCATCGTTGTGATGACCACAACAGGGGGGGGGGTCGTAAGCGCGGGGACCTTTCTGAAGTGAGGGTGCAGCGATACCCAGATGTCGTTCAGCTTCAATGATGAAAGACTTATCCATGTGAAGAACCCCTGAAGAGACACGCGCAAGACAGAAGCAACCTGTCAGCGCAGAAGTGGGGAACGATGACTAGAAATACGATGGCCGCCCACACGACGTCATGAATTGATAAACAGATGAAAATACACTTCCGGACCTTTCTATCGCAGAAGCACATCTACTTGCACGGAGGAAGCCCTTTCTAGAAGTTGCACCTTTCCCAATACCTCTGCGTGAGAGCGCTATGCTGCGCGGCATTAACAGAGGTGATGCCATCGGCAAGCCCGAATGAACTTTATTTCCTGATATCCCTTGGCGAAAACATGCGTTTTAAAAGCATACCAAAGTCTTTAAGCCAAGTGGAGGTTTTATGGCGTCGGAGGGGGTTGATTTTTCGTGTCGTGGGGATGTTTTCGAATAGCAGGCCTAGGGAAAAATGAAAGTCTTGCTAGGAAGGTACTGGGTTGGCCCATAAGTAATGGCGTTTTTTGTCACAAAATTTTTATATGGAAACGACAATTGTTCCCAATATGTTCTACATTGTTTGATAGATAATTTTCTGCTCTATAATAGTGTGATTACCCTCCTACTGTTTCATGATTTCTGCCGACATTTTATTTCCATTAAAAGGAAAAATTCGGGTCGACCCAAAAGTTTTCGACAACTACTTTTTGAATTTTATCTCGGCTCTCAATCTACAGAAGAAGCTCAAACCTTGTGGTATATATGACCAAAGGAAGATGCGTCTTATGACAGCTTGAAGTTGGTTCAAGCTATCAAGTGGTGGGAATTCGGATCCTCGTAAAATAGCATCGCGTGGGGGGCCATTTTGCCTGCGGAACCCATCCACTAGGTATTGCTTTCCACTCAAGTGAACGTGATACTTGATGATTATAAGGATGCATTCTATGACCTCAAAAATCCCTCAATCTTTGGCATGACTCTCAGTTAATGAGGTAATTCTGTAAGCTCTCAGTGGACAGAATAGGGCATTAGGTTCGATGCTTGTCTGTGAGGTCGAAACTGAAATCTTCGAATCACTTAAAGTATTATTAGTATTCCTAAGAGACGTAGCCTTTCAGCCATATACTTAGCAGCTGGGCCCATGCGGTTTTAGCTTTTTAATTAGAGGTATAAAAGAGAGGCTGTCGAAAATGCTCAATTTCGTCGACCTGACACTCCATTTTTATCACTAAAATATTAGTGGAAAGAGAAACTTGAAGAAAACTAAGAATTCTATCGTGTAGGGCAAGGAGCTTCTCTGCCAAATTGGTATAGAAATCGATGGCAAAACTTTTCTTCTTCAGCGCGATATTTCGAGTGGGAAAAACGTCATTACTTATGGGCCAACCCAATATTAGGTTGTTCCAAAAAATCGTGAAACCTTCGAACATTTTTTCGAGTTACGTTTACTCAAGTGAGAAAATTTTGATTATTTTTTGATTATTAATGTACATATGTTACCTTCATTGGCAACTTGTTGCCAACCACCACGCAATGAGTGGTTGCCCTGCTTCCAGAAGCCTCTTGGTTCTGTGCCCAGAAAGGCAGCTGGGTCATTTTTGAGGTACTATCAAAAATCGTATTTTTTACCCAGAAGATGGCCGCTGTGGGATTAGTTTAGATGGCGATCGGAAAGAGCTAAGTCAGGGCTACACGAAGACTGTGGTGGAATTCCCCAGCTAAGCTTCAGGATCTCGAGCAGTGTCATTTTCGAAACGTGTGACCCTGAGCTGTGGTGGAGTAGGCAAACATTGCTCGGTTGTGGGACCAAATGGTGGGATTTTCATCCCCTTTGCAGTTGATTACAATAGGGTTCCTTGGTTACCACAGCGTCGGAAGGAAGAAATGCCGTTCTGGACTGATTGATAAGTATTGCGGGTAGCCGGTTCTGGCCTTTTTTGGGGATCTAGCCCCTGGCGCTCTTCTGAGCGTGAACCTAGAGACACCTCCCCCATATCCAGCCTTAACGTTGTTCAACCAGTCCAAATGGCGGGAGCGGGAGAGAAGTTTTAGACAATGCCCACATGTGCTCTCCTTGGATTATGGGTCAACTCACGAGAAAAAGTTTGACCGATCAAAACTTTTTTAAGGGATCGAAGCCCTCTCTGATTTGTGCTTTGGGACCAGTCAAGTGTAAGGACTAGATAGCAACTTGATTTGTATGCAATTGTTTTTATCACGGAAGCACAGTAGGTTCCAAATACTAAGGGCAAGGTGGGCCTCCTGGCGAAGTTTTTCTCCCAGGTAGAAGTCCCTCAAGCGAACGCGATCCGGGTTATTTCAACGCCGTACTGTGGAAGGTACCATCAGGACCTAACTCAGAGAAATGCCGCTTGCGGCTCCAACCACGTTGTGGCTTGGTGGACATTCATACAGCGAAGTGTGTGATGAATATAAGTTACCATTTTGCATACAGCGAGAACAAGGACTGCGAGGGCCGTAAAGAAGCTGTGGGAATCTCTGTTAACACTTGCCATGGTCCACATAACTGGATCTCGAAATGGCTGAGGAAAGATCTGGGACGAAATTCAAGAAATGTTCACGAACTTTTGGGACAACCTAATGGAGGGTTCGAAATTCCGGCACTGTTTTTCTTCCAACGAATGGCCCGGAATGAAACTTGTTATGGCTGTTCGATGCGTAAGGACTTGTAAATGATCGCCGATGATCACGACCGGATCACAACGGATGAAATTTCTCGAAAAGGAATTTTTTGGAATCGCTCAAACTCAGGTAACAAGTGCCAACCTAGTGCTTGGCCCATGTCCTCTTCAAACAGGCAAAAATGTTGTACATACTCTGCATTCAAAGGTAAAAGGCAAGATAAATGCCCGAGACGTGTAGGATCAACACGCTAGCAGGACAGAAGTCGGCGCCTGGAGGGATGATATAGAGCGGTTGCATAGATATATGAGTACATACATGCAGCAGGCATTTCTCGTTGTGGCTCAATGGCGCGATGCGCATCGGAAAACTCGTACGAAATGCCCTCTGAATCGTGTGAAACGCAGGCGTTTGGCCGCTTCGTTTCGCTTTTTCGCCATTTTCCGATTAAAAGTACCCCTCCCATGTCTATGGCATTTGGGCCTTCCTCAGACATTTGGCCATTTTCATCCAAAAGCTGGAGGTGGTTACGAGGGAACCCATGAAGCTTAGGCTGCTGATAAATTTCGTTGCATCTCATGGCTATGATTATTCGTTCATGCAGTAAAAGTTTCCTAAACTGCTGTTGAATTGACGGCATTGTTCGATCCAGCAATATTTCTGTAGTGTGCTCAAAAATATAAGCCGCATATATTATATAAGGCTGTACAATGGTCAGCGATGATCATTATGATCGATCACATAAATCCATCTATGAAGGCGAAAAAACTGCGGAATTCAGTTCCTGTTGGCGTAGTTCACTCGAAGCTGACGTCCACCGAAATCGGCTCCATTGAGGGAATTGACGGCATTGTTCGCTCCAGCTTCATCGGAGAACTCACAGAATCCAAAACCCTTCATGCGGCCAGTTTCTCTATCGTACACGATCCTGAAATCCAGTTAATTAATTCTCGATAGCATAATCTAGAGCCAGTTTGAAAGACTCACTTGACATTGGTTACTTGACCGGCTTGGCTGAAGTGATGCCCAATAGCTTCTTCGCTTGTCTGGTAAGGCAGATTTCCAACTGAAACAGAATCAATTTAATTCAACCAATAAAAACAGCTCTAAAGACTTACCATAGACGGAATTAGCACCGCGAGATCCCATTGAGGCCATTTTTGTTGAGAAGTTTGAAGCGGCTACAGAGATGTATGAAGCTATGATGGATGAACACTGGTGGGCCCTTATGTACTGTTGGAACGTGACCCCATTCGAGCGCGTCGCCCCGCCCCTTATAGCTTGCAGACCTTTTCGCACTACATTAATATTAACGAGGTCATAGCTGCGAGGCAACCCTAACTATGTGCGAATATATCACCCCACCGACCCTATCAGCTTGGCAAACACGTAGGATTGATTGCTTTTGTGTAATCTGTTTACAAGCACTATGAATTAAAGTACGCAATTGGTATACAATTTCATACAAATGATATATCAGGACGGGGCCAGCTGTAGTTCCTTTGCTGAGTCGGTTATATGAGGGGGTTCATGATGGAAAGATTTTTGAAGAAAAATTTTAATAAAAATTTTCATAGAAAATTTCTGTTAATTTTTTTATAAAAAAGAAAAAAATTAAAAACGAAAAATATGCAATTGATATATAATTTCATACAGTTTATATATCAGGCCCTTGTTCTGATATATCATTTGTATAAAATTCTATATCAATTGCGTATTTTTAT